TTGCCAACGAACCAACTCGGACCTCGGATTTGACGTCACGTCCACACTTCAAGCGTTCTATTATGTTTTGCGTGTCCGAGTTGGAGAAAAAAATGGACGCCACCCGGAAAGCTGTTTAATGGTAGCACTGGCCGACTACCAGGCACTTCATTAAAAAAAATATATTGACTACACCTTATCAAAACGCAGCCATTTGAACTTGAAAATGTTCACTTTATTTAATGTTTTTCATGTTAATCTTCTGTTAGCAACGCTAGCTACGTTAGTAATTGCACTCACAACAACCGATTCCCATACCTACAGGGGTTAATACGAGCGATTTAAAATACCAAAGCGGTTCAAAAACAATGAAACAATTTCATTCTTACAAGTCACAGACGCAGCCATCTTGAATTTAGAAACGGAATTCTTGCTCGGTGTCCTCACGGTTGTCCGACGTCCGAGAGGAGAAATCCGAGGAAAGGGGGCGTGTTGCTAGGCAACGTCTGTCGTCCGATTCGGATCTCCGAGACGGATGAATAATAGAACGCACCATAAATACTCTCACAAAATACAAATTCATTCTGTAGCTTATGTTTGTTAGCATAACCCACAATCTTCAGCTAGTCAGCTTGAGGTCCTTTCCATCTAAACTGGTTATATCTCTTAAACCTATTGAGAATGTTTTATGAGCAGTTTAATCATATTCATCTGCACACACACACACACAGAGAGGCGAAGCACAACCAAAACAATGTTCTTCCACAAAATACATGCAGTTTTTTTTTTTAACAGCTATAGGGACAAAAGTTGCATGGTGTATCTGTAACCATAACTTCAAGTTTGTCGAAAGGGGAGTTCAAATACCTTTTCAGAAATTTTTTGACAAAATAAGCTTTTGTAATTTACATATGAACACGACTAGATAAGGTGAGGGAAACACACACAGAGAGCTAGGGATGGGTATCGTTAAGGTTTTATCGGTATTACTACTCTTACCGATACCGCTTATCGATCCGGTACTTTAACGGTATTCTTATCGGTTCTTTTTGGTGTTTTTTATTTTTTTTCTTTTTTTTTAAGAATTAAGAACATAATTAAACTTTATATTTTGAAATGTAAAATATAAAAAGCAAAACGAAGAAAAATATATTTTTGTTATGCAGCAATGTGCAGGCTTTTTTTGTTTATACAAAAAGGACACATAAGAAAAAAAACAAGTACAAACACAAGAATACAATTAATCAAAGGTACAAATTATATACAAAGTGCTTTAATTTCAGGAAGGTCTACTAGCATATCTTGTCAGGTAATTGTTTCTGTCTGAAAAGAAACCTATTAATCAAATATAAAATAGCACTGTAGTTTATCATAGATAGAATAATGCTTATTAAATCTAAAGTTACTCATTCAAAGGCTGTGAGTGATTTTCTCTGCCTTTTGTTGTTTGATTTGCATTAATGGCTGAATCGTCAGCAGGTTTAGGCTATTAGACTGCTGCCCCTTTAAGGACCGAGTGCAGATAATGGGGACTGATGCACCATCATTTTCTCCCTATTATTTACGTCCGTTTAAGACATACTTGTGTTTAAGTGAATTAAACTGTGTTTAAGTGAATCTCAGAGCTGGTCATTTTGACATTTGTATGTATATTTGATAGTTAAGGACGCACAAAGCCCAAGTATATAGGTTACTTTTCTTGTCTCGTTGTGCAGTCCGTTTCGGAGCGTGCCCGCCTTGTGAACAGCGTCTCTTGCGCAGGTTTTTGTGTTTTTAATAGCTATTTTCTTGATCTTGCAACAGTAGAAGACAGCACTTTGCAACAATCGCCGATCGTGCTGATTCTGACGGTACGTTTGGGTTTTAGGAAGAACTGACAGCGCTCCGCAGTGCTGTGAAGTAAAGGAAGTTAAGCTGGACAGATCGTTTCGTTTTTAACAGTTTTATCTCAAATATCTTCTTTATAATCTTTGGAAGCCGAAATACAAAATATATTAGAATAATACCCCAGATCTAAAGTGTAACCACGTTGGATGTTTAGTTCTGTCCTCATTGTCACTCATTAAGCAAGGGCTGTCGTGTTGCGCGTGCTGTGGCTTTGCGTGAGAGATGGCTCTCTCTCTCTCTCTTCTCTCTCTCTCTGAACTGCGAAATTGCAAATTTGCATCACAGACATATGGTTTAATTAAAATATAGTTTATATATAGAAATGGCTGGTGATATAAACATGTTCGAGATAACGTCTTTATAGGAATAATAAATAGTAGCCCAACTTGCGTGTATTTACTTAATTTCTCCAGTACCGACAGCAGAACCGGTAACGTCCGAGCTTATCGATACAGCGGTCTTTCAAAATTCAGTACCGGGGCCCGTTTAATACCGGGTTTCGGTACCCATCCCTACAGAGAGCATCAGCTTTAGTTTCTGCTCTGACAGCAGCAACACCAGCCGCTGTGAGTGTGTGTTAGAAATCAGGAACGCTGAGAGAACATTGGGCTTGGTACGTTTTTCATCTTCAAACCAAACTTGGGTCTCAAGTCGACAAAGTTTAAATCCGTCTGTCTAGCCGCTTCCCATAATGTTACACATTCATATGACTACACATAATGTCAAGCATTTCAGACCCGTTTACACCTGTATTTATTAGGGCTGTAGTCAACCAAAGAAATCCTTAGTCGACCAAAGTCTTGTCCTGCGCAACGATTAGTCGAATAAAAAAATAAATAAAAAAAATAATAATAATACAATTCTTTGAAAATTAAGTGATTTTTTAACTGCAAAAAGTGAAGAGCTCTGTCCTCGGTCTATAGTAACAGTCACAATCGCGCACCTGACCACACCACACGCTGCAAAAAATATAACTCTGCCACATAATGAAAAATCCCAACAAAAGCTCTCGTTTATACAGGCTTTATATTCTTCTTTACTTTCAAAGCTATGGGTTAACTTTCGTCCTGACGATCAAGGCGTTTTAAACAACACAAAAAACCCAAATAACTTTAAAACAATCCTAATAATAGGCTGTAGGACCGCGTATAGGTTTATTTTCGTTTTGTTGCATTATTTAGGCTACTTTCAAATGCGTCAAGTGTACAAATAAAAAGCGAAAACATTAAGAAAACACAATCTATTGAGTCAGCATGATATAGCCGTTAAAAGGCTGCTCACGTCTTTTGCGCGCTCAAGTTCGATTTCAAATGTAGGCGCGCGACTTGCGCGCTCATAATGGAGCAACGCGATCGCCTCCCTCCACAGTTCAGTGTTGCCAACTATTTTCAAATGAAAGTAGCTAACGCCTTCCCTAAAAGTCGCTAAATGTCGCTAGATGACGTCATACGTTAATTAGCATATTCGTGACGTCATCGCGTCGTACTTGCGTTCCGCTTGCCTAATGTGTTTTCTCTAGAAATTAATGCTCAGCTCACATATTGTATTTAATATATTATAATATAATATAGACGAATGTAAAATAAAGCTGTTCTCATTTCCTATATATTTTTGTCACACAAAACGTAAAACAGTGAATGACAAAAAAAGTAATACAGCAAGCACAAGAAAAGAAAGAAAACTAAATTGTTTAAATAAAAAACATTATTATTTCAAGAAAGCAGATAAGTGATAGGTCCGTGGGAAAACTGCTCATTCACCTCTGTCAGTGGCGTTCAACAGATGATCTTCTCCTCTCAGCCATTCACTAAACAGGATAGACGTAGAGTGAATGAAAGCAAAGGGAGAAAAGCAAAAAAGTCGGGGTCTGAAAAGTCGCTAAAAATAGCGACTCATTTGCGCGATTGTTTTGCAGTTTGTACGCGGATGAGAACATCTCCTGCTCTGTCTGTCTACAGCTGGGAGGGGCTGCTGCGCGAGGAGTGGGCCACCTGTGAGTGATTTGGGATAGGGTGAGACCCACGGCAGCACTCGCTGCTCGTTGAGATGAGGAAAAACCATATGTGATTTCACATCAGAGAGTCTCCAAAAGTCTCTAATAACACCAGAAAAAGTCGCTAGATTTGTCGCTAGTCGCTTTTTTGAAAATTTGCCGCTAGGGGGGTCTGAAAACTCGCTAAATATAAAATAAGTTGGCAACACTGCCACAGTCTTGTCGTCTTTGTTTTAAAATGCAGCCAGACAAAAGATTTAGATTTCCTGGACATTTTGTCGAATAAGCCAAAACAAGCAGCGTTCTAACTGAATGAATACAGCATCCCTTACCGAGCGCGAACAGCAGCTCAGCCGGCCACAGGTGCGGTTCCCGAGTGTATTATGTGTGTGCGCGAAACTGTGGCGCAGTTATAAAAATAGCCTAAATTAAAGCATTTTGAAGTTGGGGACAAAACATAGGCTAATTATATTTAGAATACAGTAATAAATAACTGCTTATAAATGAATAAATATCAAGGAGTAAATCATTGAAAAATTCTTTCTATTGGTAAAAAAAAAAAAATGCAACTGGTCGACCAATAAAAAAATGTCAGTCGACCAAGACGACATTGACCGATTAGTCGACTAAACGACTAAAGTTGACAGCCCTAGTATTTATCATCGTCCACTTGTGATCCGATCGACCAAAACTCCTGAGACCTTCTACGTCTCCTGTACTGACCTTGCGCACCCAGAGAGGCATCTGGTGTGTGTTGGGCGAACGATGGTGAAGGTTGAGCACCACGACACTGAGGATGACGGAGCAGGTGACCAGGATCATGGTGAACATCAGGTAGTTGACGATAATGGGAACACCCAGAGATGTTTCGGGAACCTTGTTGGCCAGCAGAAGCAGGAAGACAGTTAAAGTCAGCAGTACGTTGATCGAAAGACCCATCTTCTCCCCTGAAAAGAAAACAGAGCTCCTCTTGATCTACTCGTCAGAGTCTTAATGAGCTTTTAGTGATGAGGTTAATTGTACTATATAATGGAATTAATAGACCGGACCGTATAAGTGGCGCTTGTACTAATGATCCCCTCATTATTTTGCGGGGAGAACTGAAAGATTGATCTTGTTGTAGCAGGAGCTCATCCATGCAGGTAAAAGATCTATTTATAATGGGCAATAATAAGACATTCATTCGTTCAAGGTCAATAAAACCTCAAGCTAATAAAAAGGTATTTATATTAGTGGTTGTGTTGGACGACCATCCACCAACAACAGCCCGTCTTTACAACAGCACAGCAGAGTGTGTGATTCACATTCTTGTCCAAGCTCTTGTCATCTCAAGACTGGACAGACAGATATAAATGCTGGATGGATTTTATGTTTTGCATTTAAAGTGGATTTGACCATTTTTTTTAACCAATCCTGGTATCCGTTTTGAAATAATAAACATAAAATGCTTTACCTGCATCAGGAGGCAAGTAGAAGTTAAAGATGGCAATGATGGTGATGAGGATACAGGGCAGGACGATGTTAAACACGTAGTACATGGGCTTCCTCTCGATGATCAGGTAGAAGGTGATGTCCTCGTACAGGTCCTCTCGAATATTCTTCTGAGAAACCTTATGCCGAATGTGCCATTCCCCACTCTCTGGGACGACAGAAGATATGATGATGAGAAAAACAAAATGCGTTTGTGTCTGTAGAGTAGGTGTAGTGTTCAAACTATACAATGACATTTTGAGTGCAATCAGTTAGTGATTTTTTTTTTAAAATACACCATTATTTAAGTATTAAGTGTATTAAAACACCCCATTAAAGAGGACTTATTATACTACTTTACATGTTCAACTTTCTTTAGTGTGTAATGTTGCGGTTTATGTTGCAAAGCAAAGGCAGTTTTCTTCCAGGTACACGTCACAATATTCCTCATTTAAATAATTTAAAGAATAACGGGACGTGCCCTGGTTGAGTTAGTTAGTAGTGTGTTGAAACCAAGCAGAAATCTGCCAGACTCTCTCTTGAATCCAACAGAGAAGAGACTTAAACTGCAATTCATCGACCCAGCTGCAAAAAAATCAGTTCCATAGACCCGCATGTTAATATGCCCAACTTTACAGCAGAAAAAAATATGTTTACAGCTTGTAACAAAAACCGGTTTTGGTCTATATAGCTAATTTTGCCCTTCATGACAACTTTGAGGGGGGTGAATTTTTTTTTAATAATGCATCCATTTAAATTATATTAACCCTTTGGGTCACCTGATGGAGTTTTAGGACACCATTGGGTCACTTGATGGCGTTTTAGGACACCATTGGGTCACCTGATGGAGTTTTAGAACACCATTGGGTCACTTGATGGCATTTTAGGACACCATTGGGTCACTTGATGGAGTTTTAGGACACCATTGGGTCACTTGATGGAGTTTTAGAACACCATTGGGTCACTTGATGGCATTTTAGGACACCATTGGGTCACCTGATGGAGTTTTAGGACACCATTGGGTCACTTCATGGAGTTTTTGGACACCATTGGGTCACTTGATGGAGTTTTTGGACACCATTGTGTCAATTGATGGTGTTTTAGGACACCATTGGTTCACTTGATGGAGTTTTTGGACACCATTGGGTCACCTGATGGAGTTTTAGGACACCATTGGGTCACCTGATGGAGTTTTAGGACACCATTGGGTCACCTGATGGAGTTTTAGGACACCATTGGGTCACCTGATGGAGTTTTAGGACACCATTGGGTCACTTGATGGAGTTTTAGGACACCATTGGGTCACTTGATGGAGTTTTTGGACACCATTGGGTCACTTGATGGAATTTTTGGACACTATTGGGTCACTTGATGGAGTTTTTGGACACCATTGGGTCACCTGATGGAGTTTTAGGACACCATTGGGTCACTTGATGGTGTTTTAGGACACCATTGGGTCACTTGATGGAGTTTTTGGACACCATTGGGTCACTTGATGGAGTTTTAGGACACCATTGGGTCACTTGATGGAGTTTTAGGACACCATTGGGTCACTTGATGGTGTTTTAGGACACCATTGGGTCACTTGATGGAGTTTTAGGACACCATTGGGTCACTTGATGGAGTTTTAGGACACAATTGGGTCACTTGATGGAGTTTTAGGACACCATTGGGTCACCTGATGGCGTTTTAGGACACCATTGGGTCAGTTGATGGAGTTTAAGGACACCATTGGGTCAGTTGATGGAGTTTTAGGACACCATTGGGTCACTTGATGGAGATTTAGGACACCATTGGGTCACTTGAAGTTTTTGGACACTATTGGGTCACCTGATGGATGTTTAGGACACCATTGGGTCACTTGATGGTGTTTTTGGACACCATTGGGTCACTTGATGGAGTTTTAGGACACCATTGGGTCACCTGATGGCGTTTTAGGACACCACTGGGTCAGTTGAAGGAGTTTAAGGACACCATTGGGTCAGTTGATGGAGTTTAAGGACACCATTGGGTCAGTTGATGGAGTTTTAGGACACCATTGGGTCAGTTGATGGAGTTTTAGGACACCATTGGGTCAGTTGATGGAGTTTTAGGACACCATTGGGTCAGTTGATGGAGTTTTAGGACACCATTGGGTCACTTGATAGAGTTTTTCGGTTCTGTTGCCTTTGGCTTGTCAGTTGGGGATATTCAAATTAATTAACCAATCAGTAATAACCTTGATCAGCTTGATCTTTCAGACTGGCTTGAAAAAACTTTGTCTGAATGTTTAAAAGGTTGTTGTGCATTGTGCATTACCGCTGAAGCCTGTGTCCAAGACTATCTCTCGGATTTCATTTCCCTTCTTATCAAGGCCAGGCTGCAGATCCACTTCTGAGGAATCATAAGTATAAGAACGGAAAACCATGGTGCAATTTTGCCAGTCAAAAGGGAAGTATGTCACCTGCAGATGGAGAATGTAATGCGTTACTGTGTGTGTGCGTCTGTCTGACGAGCATCTTCCTTTAATCATCTCTCTTTCTGATTTCACACATGCAGAGACCAGACGGAACATCAAACGCAGCCAAACTAGAGCGAGGCCAAACAAAAGCAGCGATACAAATGAGGAGAGGGAAAAAGTTCACAAAACAAGTACAAAAGTGAGAGAGATTGCCACTTATATGAGGTAAAAAAAACTTTTAAACAAGCAGCATTGTAATATATTGTTAAAGGGTTAGTTCACCCAAAAATTAAAATTCTGTCAGTATTTACTCACCCTCATGTTGTTCCAACCCCGTAAGACCTTCGTTCATCTTCGGAACACAAATTAAGATATTTAAGATATTAAGATCGCTCCTGCATACAGTCCATTGGCTTCTTGAGGGACTGGCTCTTGCCGTCCCCGAAAAGTCATTAAAGACATCGTTAAAATAGTCCAAGTGACTACAGGGGCTCAATCTTAAGTTTATCAAACGACGAGAACACTTTTGTGCGCAAAAAAACAACAAAAATAACGACTTTATTTCAACTATTCACTTCCTTCTCCATGAGCCTATAAGTCAGTTAACGTAGTGTGATTGCGTAGAGCTACGTCACACGTAGGCTCACTATTGGCCGACGCTGGTCATGTGTGTGTGATGCGTGTGACGTACAATAACAGAAGCTTACGCTATTAAACTAGTAACCTGACTCGCGCAGAGGGAGAAATAAACGAATAGTTGAAATAAAGTCGTTATTTTTGTTGTTTTTTTTGCGCACAAAAGTGTTCTCGTCGTTTGATAAACTTAAGATTGAGCCCCTGTAGTCACTTGGACTATTTTAACGATGTCTTTAATGACTTTTCGAGGACAGCAAGAGCCAGTCCCTCAAGAAGCCTATGGACTGTATGCAGGAGCGATCTTAATATCTTAAATATCTTAATTTGTGTTCCGAAGATGAACGAAGGTCTTACGGGGTTGGAACAACATGAGGGTGAGTAAATACTGACAGAATTTTCATTTTTGGGTGAACTAACCCTTTAATATAGTCATAGTGCAGTTGTACAGAGTATAAACACTTCATTACATCCATAACTTACTTTTATTACTACAGTATTTACCGAAAGGTGATGAACATTCATCAAGAACAAAAAAATGAGTGCTAAAAAGAAAACATTAAAGTACCATCACCTATAATTTATACACATCTTGCACTGTTATGCCATGCTGTTAATGTTTCACTGCACTGATTTAAAGGGTAACTAAACACCAAAACAACTTTTTTTAGTTAATGATCTGTAAGAATGGAGCCTCATAAATGCTGTTCATTGATTCGAGTACATTTTTTGACAATTGAGTATAAAGTGTTTTGATTTTCAAATATATGGTGTAAAAACGTCTGAGTGCTGCCCTCTTCAGGTTAAACGGAAAGCTCCTGCAGTAGGGGTACTTTCTGACGTAGCGAACTCTCAGACGCGACTCTGTCACACCCTTGGTGCGAGCTCACCACACCCTTGGCAGCCCCTGGTATAAAAGCATCTGGTTCCGTCAAAACTACTGTAGCGAGTCAGGAGTTGGATTTATGAGTATTGAAAACGATCAGGATATCATATATTAGTTTAGTACAGTGATCAGGATAGTGACGGAATAGAGGTGGACATGGGCTTCTCCACACAGCTGCTCGTCCTGCATGGACTCCTCCACCGCAGCGGCGTCTTGATGTGAGTGATCATGGATATTTTAATCACAATTTATGGTTAGGATAAAGTTAATCCTCTGGGGTCGACAAACGAGCCGGTGCATTTTGCTGGATTTTTTCACATAGCGGCAGAATATCAATATGAATACATGCCCACAGAGCGTGCGCTATTGAGATCAACTCGACGACAAAACTCATCAGATGCCGGTCGCGATGCGGGAGTTAAGACCGCAGTTTGAGCCAGCGGCTCGAATGGATTTGGCCCTGTGTCTACATACAATTCACCCTCATCCACTTCAGGTGAAGGTGAGGGAGAAAAGTCCTCGACTTCAAATGGCCGCTCTGTTGCAAAGGCAGTTACTTGCGTCACTCCAGACCAGTCTCGCTCTATTTTAGAGTCTGACAGCAGCTCTCACTCACGGCGGGTCTCAGGTGCACGCCCCCTGGCCCCGCTGGGGTCTGCCCATTTTTTCAGCATTTTTCAAATATTGCTAGTGGGTGGAGTCAGGCTCTGACCAGGGGTTTAGTTACTCTTTAAACAATTAATGGAGCACTTGATTGTTTTATCGGTCTGTTGTGTTGCAGGATTTACCTTTACTCCGCAAATACTCCTGAAAAGAGCCGGTGGAGTCCACGTCACACGGCCATTACTGTAGGCCTGCACGTGGACCTGTAGAGCTACATCGAACACGCCGTCATTACTGCACACACAAACACAAGATTAAGCAGATAAACTTGCATAGCTAAACCTAAACCTCCACATTGAGGAAATTTGAATGAATGAATGCCTTTATTGTCATTGCATTTAGTAGAATGAAATTATAGAGCCACTCTAATAAGGTGCATCATTATACACATATACAATATATATAAAACTCAGACAACATATACACACACACACAAACTCATCATTTACCCCAAACCCTGACTAATCTTTCCTGCAAGCACACTCTAACCATCCATAGCATAACAAAAATAAAAATAAACACACAATTTACCCACTCTCTTGCTAAGTGGCTAAGGCTCAGGGTTCCCACACTTTGGTTAGCTTCAAATTGAAGGACCTTTCCAGGACCAATACTCTCAATTTTAAGAACTTAATGTGGGACACATGTGTTGTGTCCAATAACAAACGTGGGGATACCATCGTAGTAGTGTTGTGCGCGCGTAAACGTCATGGCAACGTACACAACGTAACGCGTAAAAGTGCGTAACTAACGTAAATGAAGAAAGCTTGTATGCATAGGCCACCAAGTGTTGGCGAAATAACACATTAGCGGACCGGAGGGAATAATATGGATTTTTTTCTGGAAAAATGTTTTGCACAAAATAAATTCAAGCACTTTCAAGGCTATTTATCTACTGTATGTTTATTTTCAAAACTTTCCAGGGCCTTGTTTTTTTTATTTATTTATTTATTTTTTTCAGATTCACAAACTTTCAAGGATTTCAAGGACCCGTGGGAACCCGTAATAAATTGCTGAGTATTTTATTATTATTATTTTTTTTAAGTTTAGCTTCATTTAGGACTGTTAATGCTTTAGGAAAGAAGCTAATCCTAAATCTACTAGTCTTTGAATGGCAACACTACAACGTTTTTCAGTCCACATTGATAATATCAAAATCAAAATGAGAGTTTCTTTGGGTTTGGGGTATTCCAGAAAGTAGGTTATAAGATTACTCAGAGCAAGCGGATAACCTCAACTTTCAGTTCCAACACCTGAGGTAACTTTTAGGGTAAGCAAGGAGCCAAATCAACATATCTTCTGAACATCAGATGTTGAAGACCCACTACCATCTGGCTGTAGTAAGACACTCAGTAGCCGTATTTCCATTCAAAGGGGTGATGAACTGAGAAATCAAATTTTCCTTGAAGAGGTCATGATATTATAAGAATATCCTGTAAGTTTCAGAACTGAAAATGTCCTTGTTAGTCCAATAAAAGCTTTTGTTGACACCAGCCTCTGAAAACGACTAATTTTTCAAAGTGGGGAACTATGACGTCAAAGAGGATGAAACACCACCCCCGCAGAAGAAGATCAACGCCTACTTCAACACGGCCAGTTTAGCCCCGCCCACCGATTTACGCATTACACGCATAGCTAAACAACATAGAATTCCTACCTCGTGATGACAAACCGGATCGAGCTACCGAACAATACAGAATATTGTGGAAGAAGACAGTCGTTGCATAAGCGAATGAGTTGAAACTCATTATAATATGCAAAACTGTTATCCACTCACAGCAGTGGGCATTTACTTCCAATTCTTCAGTGCGAGACGCCCATAAAATCCGAGCGTTTTTCAGGTAGGCTCACAACTTGGATACAAAATAGCCTATTACTTACTCATTAAGATGTTTTTGAATGTAAAAACCAAGTGAACATAATAAGTTGACCTCAGACATCAATATAATAAAATTTAAAAAGCCAGTTCATAACCCTTTAAATTTAATTAGCTAATTATAAATACGCACATGGATACACGTCAATTTCGAAAAGTTTTTGGTCACCTGACGTAGACGGTGTGTTTGGACAGAAGACGAGACTCATTAAACTCATTAAAGACAAAAGTAGCCCTTCACGGATATACCGGATTCTAACAAAGAAATGCCACAATTTATCAAGATCTCAAAGCAGATATGCGGTCCTCATACATGGCCGCTCGCAAGTATACGGGTCTTTCATGGTCATTAATGCTTGGATAACACGCCTGCGTCTCCTTCCATTAATAATAATGTCCGGTGCGGTGACTGAGATATTTAAACTAACATCCGTTGCCATGATTTTTTTAATGACTCACCGCGAGAGGAAAAAAAAATTACGTTTCAGTCGTACAACATCGGTAAATGGAAACACTTAATTTCGCAATAGTTTTTTTTATCGACATTTAGAAAATATCGGTAAAGTTTTTCGCAAATCTGAAATGGAAACTAGTGATCGACCGATATATCGGCCGATATTTGGCATTTTTTAAATATCGGCATTGGCCAGTCAGACTGATCTCATGAAGTAGCGTGTGTATGACACCCATTTTTGGCGAGCTATCAAGACGCATAATCGCTTTTCAGCGTGTTTATGAACGCCGTTGACTTAACGTTATTACTGTATATATAAATATATGACTTACCTCAACCCCGTCCCTAAACCTAATCGTCACTGGGGTTAATGGCATTTATGACTGTTCCCTTACCATCCTAGGAAAAAAAAAGATCGCTCCCCAGATGTAGATCTACATTTTGCTTCGTTTCGCGCGGATATTTGATGGCGTGTACATACACGCGGAATCACTCGGACGTTAATGGCGTAGACCATAGACTGTAAAAAAGATGGACGACGCCCCTTCGCTCTTTTCCATCAGAGGGAACTGTAGCCGCCAGTGTCTCGATATGGCGCTGACATCTTGGACTTGAGTCTGCGCACTTGCGTGTTTCGGGACCAGTCATGCGCAGTCGTTAGCAGGAAGTAAAGCCGCGAAATCAAGGCCGCGCCCTCATTCTCGCTGAATCAAACGCAAGCACACGCCTCGCACTTTCATTAAGTGTCCTCTGTCTGCTTCGTTCCTCTTCAATGATGTCTGCTGATTGCAGAACCTCGTTAAAATAAGGTAAATACAACTACTAACCACATAATCAACATTATTAAAAAAAGTCCGCTGGTGCTTTCAGTGACTACCTCGCACAGAAAACCTGTCAATCATGATGTCAGAGCACCGTTTTTATCATCACATAACAAACTAAAAACAAACTTACTTTAAAAACGAACACTTGAAATTACATCAACGTGATAGAAACTACAGTGAAACTATCTTTGGAAAAAGGATATGTGAAGTGTAATTTAATTGTTTAGTTGGTCTCGCGTCCCATTGAATAACATGGGGAGGCGGGGGTTATGAGCTATACTAGGTCTGGTCACAGGGGGGCGATCGAGACGTTTTGGCTTCACTTTTGAGGGCTTGTGCGGCACGCTTGGCGTAGACATACACGCATACACATGGATACTCGCGGATAACTCAAAATGCGTAGCGATAACACGCCACTTGACTCAAAAGTGACGTGTATATTTACGCAAAAGTCATGATTGCGCCAGTAAGTTTTTCAGATTGACCGATGTGTTGGAAGCGGGACTTTTATTTTGACGGCGGTGCAGACTTTTTTATGTTAACGACGGGCGGCGCTGAAAACACAGTGATCGTACAGCGCTCACTCACATTCTCCATCTTCCATAGGCGGAAATCGCGGGGGGGGGGGGGGTCGGGGGGGGTCAGGACCCCCCCTATCTGAGGGTTGTCCCCCCCAAAAAAACATTAAAATATGTGTATTGTAAATAATGTAATGATATATTCTTAAAATAATTAAGAAATAAAATAACACAAATGCAAACGGAGCAATAACTAAAAAAGCGTTAAACATTTTGAGACCCCCCTCCCTTGCCTCACAGTGCGTTGGTCCAGTCCACCGCCTCCGTCCCTTTTACCTTAGACACACACATTCCGGTGGCGGGAGAGAAAAACATAGTTTTTGAGTAGTTGTGGAACTCCAGTAAAGGGGGTCGCACACCGGACGAGAAGCGTCGCGCAGCGCCACGTCTTTAAAGTTCGAACACATTATTCTCTATGAGTGTACACACACCGGCGGTGCCGTTTGGCGTCTGTCCGCAACGCCCAGCAACGGCTCAGGACCGTGTTCAAAACCCTGCTGCGCCACAGAGCGCCATTTACATAGTTTTATATACAATTTAAATTATTTTTGTCTCAAATCGGTCCTGACGGATCCTGACTTCGCCCTATGCTGCAATATGCATTTAGGCCTAGTTTTGCATTCATTTACAGAAATCAGCTGCTTGAATGACAATTGCTGGATTTTTTTCAGGTGAGATTCTCAATTCATTCAGTAAACGGATGCTCTGAGGTAAAGTTTTCAGACTGCAGACTCAGGAACGATAGTATTTAATTGTACAGTACAATAATAACTTAGAACAGACACTATCTTCATGTCATTAAACATTACAATATTGCTGGCCATACACTGATAAGAAAGTCCGGGTGCGCTGTGCATTTAGATTGTAACGCTTTCACTGTGATTTAGTTGGTTTATATCATTTAATATAGTTAAAGAATGAGTCAATAAATGAATGAATCGCTGCGCTGCGCTGCGTGAGGAGAGTATAAATAGATTCGCCGCTGGCTTAAACCAGAAAGAAATTTTAAGAAGTATAATGAAATGGTCTCCATGCTACACTAATAATAGTAGTAAGGCTTTCCTCTGTATTTTTTTTTTTTTTTGCCTGTATTATTGGTGTCCCCTTCAAAATTTGCTCTTGAGAATTGTTATGTTTATTGTCCCCCCCAACATTTTGATGAAATTTTCGCCCCTGCCATCTTCATTAGTTTACGCTCTCTCTCGGTCATATCTAATACTTTGTTTGACAGAACTGGGGCATTCAGAACTGGTAATCAAATAAAGTAAATGGTATGTAAAAAATAATGCGTTGGCTTTTATATTTTTTGCAAAAGAAAAGGCACACAATCAGCCTAAAATCTTGTTCATCTACTTGTTGTTTATTGGGTGTATGTACCATTTTCATTTTGTCCTTTTTGGAGGTCGACAGGCAATTGTCATTGTCAGCTTAGAGTTAGTGAAATGTCACAGTCGAATTAAGTTTTTTATGATATATTGTATGACTGCATCACATTAAGTAAGAGTAATCCCACAATTGAGATGGATTGACCATTTGAGCCCTTAAACCATACGGCAATGGTGTATAATCCTCATAGGACACAAAACAGGCATTTAAAACTTCCCATCTATTACGGTAATGGTGCTGTGGGACTCCTAGATCTCCCTCATTGAACAGTGCGGGATGCCGTTTGTGTGTGTGTGTGTATGAATGCAGGACCATAGAGGCTTCTAGCAGACAGCAGTGTTGTTTAATTGGCTATAAAGCAGAGATGAATGAAGCAGGCCTGATATTTACACCAGCAGTGATGAGGGTCTACCTCAGCGAGAGTGTGTGAGAAAGTAATGTGTGTGCATGCATCTCTCGACAAGCTTCACAAGCGCTTTGATCATTTCTTTGTTATTTTTGCTGTTCTTGCAGAAACTCAACAAAGACTCTCTAAGATAATATGCCTGACACTAGGCTTTCTGAGATAATGTACACACACACACACACACACACACAAAACTCACTTGTTGATGAGAACAATATCAGGAAGCCACACTTTTGCAGACGGGATACGCAACACATCAAATCCCCCGTAGTCTTTCGGGTTCCAGGAGAGGCGATAATCGTTCCACTCCTGCAAGAGCACAAAAGGTGTGTGTGTGTGTGTGTGTGTGTATAGAGAGATGAGGGTCATCATTGAAATTATAAGTACAACCAGTTCATCATTTAATCAAATGATCTGGCTTGTGTCATTAACTACACCAAATGCAATATCTCTGCACATTTGCATTTGCATAATCTTTCATTTCGCATTCAAATTTATGCTATATTGATCCAAGTTATTATTATCAGAGTTTGTCTTGTGAGGTAACATGGTAATTTCAGTCCTCTAAATCAGTCATGATAGATGATACGGATAACTTTTCTTCGATGCAATGAATTTGAATTGCGCTCAAGACGTTATTTCTCAAAATGACACGCGGGAGTCGGAAGAAAGAAAACTTACCAAGTTCATAATAACAACAGTGTTCATCTCCTCATCTTTCATGTTCTAGGACACAAATAAAAAATAATTCAATAATTCAATTAGTGAATGCACATGTGTTTAGATCATCAAAATGAGAGTTTCGTTGGGTTTTACCATTACAATGTACAATATCTAGAGTGCCTGGCTGTGATCTGGCCGTAGGTATGAGTGTGATGTTGCTTTTATACAACAGCACAATAAACAAGTTGTTAATATTGAGCAAATCACATTTTCGACACAATACGGCCAGTTATTTCGTTTATTTTTACTCTACCAATCACAACAGTATGAAAGAAATATCAGCAATCCTGGAGCGACGCTTCCCAAACTGGCGGGTCTGTAACATTAACTCAAGAATGCCAATTTAAAGCAATTTCAACACTTTATACTACATTGGGCAAGGTCTCATATTTTAACAAAAGCTTGAAAAGGACATTTCTCAAGCCTTACCTCCATAGCAGGAGCTCTTGTGAATGTAAAAAACACTGCAACCATCTAGCACTCTATACACTTAGTTGTGGACACTTAAAGGGATACTTCACCTCTGGAAAGATGGATGTGTATTTAAAATGGGTCCTTTATCTAGAAGAAATGTGAAATTGTTTTTGAATTTGGAGCTTTCTAGACTGAGAAAAGCCACAAAATGTATTTTTGGCTTATGTGGATGAAAGACAACAACTCCCAGAATGCACTTGCTTCGCTGCCCTAAGAGGCCACGCCTACCGGTAACAGAGCGTAGTAGTTAAACAACAAGTCTAGGCTACTAGTGAGTCTCCATGACGAGTCTGCCCGAAAATGTGTTTCGAGATCGCCCAAAATGTCTGGGATTCGGCTTTTGCGTTCTACAGTCGCCGTTCATCATGTTTACTGTGGCGAGCGGGACGATGAAAGACCCACGACTGGCAGGTTAATTAAGAAATTAAATTAGATTGAATGGAGGATTTTAACTGTGACGAGATGACAGGTCAGTTTACAGTGACAGGATGCACGCGACTGAGCTGTCCGTTAAAGATGACGTGATAGTATAGCCGTTTCTCAATATGCGTTCTTGTCTGTACTTGTGTTCTTGTGGACTTGTGAAACGTCATCAGTCACTGCCCAAGTACCGTTCCAATTCAAAGTTCACATCTAGCCAAGTCCAGTTCGAATCCCAGGATGTGTTCTTGATCCGCCCCGTTTACCGAGGATGCATCGAGAGGTGAATCTTGCGGACTTGAGGTATCCCAGAATGCATCTCGCGTCAACCAGCAAGCGTCAGTGGGAGAGGAGAAAATCCGCGAAATATCAAAATACTACTGTTATTGTGTCATGAAATGTAATTTTAAAGGGTTAGTTCACCCAAAAATAAAAATTAAGTCATTAATTACTCACCCCCATGCTGTACCAACCCCGTAAGACCTTCGTTCATCTTCGGAACACAAATAAAGATATTTTTGATTGAATCTGAGAGCTGGATCACTCTTCCATTGGCTTTCTAAGGGACTGGCTCTTAACGGCCCATAAAGTCATTAAAGAAAAGGTTTAAATATTCCATGTGCCTACAGCGACTCAATTATAAGTTTATCAAGCGACGAGACTACTTTTTGTGTGAAAAAAACATAAATAACAGCTTTATTCGACTATTCCATTACTTCCTTATGGGCGCATGCGCGAGAACTGAGACGAGGACGTTCTCCTTCGACTACTTCTTGTTACCGGCTGCTCACCGCTTAGGAGTTTTACCGCCCCCTACCGTATAAGATGATAATAAGGCACACTGTCGTTTTTTGAGAAGATTAAAGGCTTTTAAGTGCACCTTATAGTGCGGAAAATACGCTAATTGAAAAGCGTATGTACTGCGCGCATCTTCCTCTGCTTGTAAACAGAAAGTTTTGCGCTTCCAGCTATATCAGCACATCATCTTATACAGTAGGGGGCGGTAAAACTCCTAAGCGGTGAGCAGCCGGTAACAAGAAGTAGACGAATGAGAACGTCCTCGTCTCAGTTCTCGCGCATGCGCCCATAAGGAAGTAATGGAATAGTGGAATAAAGTCGTTATTTATGTTTTTTCGCACAAAAAGTAGTCGGGTCGCTTGATAAACTTATAATTGAGCCGCTGTAGGCACATGGAATATTTAAACATGTTCTTTAATGACTTTATGGGCCGTCAAGAGCCAGTCCCTTAGGCTGTCTATGGAAGAGTGATCCAGCTCTCAGATTCAATCAAAAATATCTTTATTTGTGTTCCGAAGATGAACGAAGGTCTTACGGGGTTGGTACAGCATGGGGGTGAGTAATTAATGACTAAATTTTCATTTTTGGGTGAACTAACCCTTTAAGAGTGTTTCAGGTGAGAATGTGGTTATTTAAATCTCAAATCTGTGGTTTATTTATAAAGATAGCACCTATTTCAAAAATGCATCTGACGTTTTTGGAGCTCTGACATGCAAGCTTTCACCGCTTCACAGCTTTTCCTCGGCTAATAAATATTTTTATTTATTTAATTTTTTTTACATGATCTTCACTATATGAACAATAAAATAAAATGAACTCGTCTTTGTTTGTTAAATATCAATAAAAATCAATAATGTTTCATATTTTTAAAGTGAAAACAAAAAGATGTTCACTTTGTTATTAATATATGGAGTGAAGATAATCATACGCCTGAACCACATGGCCAAATATGTTTAAGAGATTTTTTTAATGAAAAGAGGCAAAGTGGTGTTTCATAACAAATTTCGTTTTATTTTGGACGAAAAGAGGCAGAGTTGTAGCATATTCTGTTTTATTGTTGCCTAAAATATACATAAATATAACCAGTAGCCAGAGCGTGCTGAGTGACGCGATCAAGTACGCTCTGTTCCATTTGCAGAAGAACCGAACTTGCGTCCTCTCGTCCTCGGGAGTTCGTTCTCTTGAGTCGTACTTGGCAAGTCTGAACTACCAAGGACGCAAGTCCGAACTTTGCGTACTTGGTATTGAGAAACGGCTTATGTCCCAAAGCTTGCCTACTCTTTTACTACACATTCAAAAGTATGTACTTTTTCTACACAAAAAGAGTACATACTTTTAGAGTACATACTTTTCTCTATTTCTCCAGAGCAGCTGTGTGTATATATATATATATATATATATATATATATATATATATATATATATATATATATATATATATATATAAACTAATATAAACTAAAAAAATATCTTTTTTACAACAGAAATGAACCAAATGAATCACTGAACTAACTTAAGCTGGACTATCACAGTATTTTCTTCTAGCTCTGAAAGAAAATTAGCTGCATTATTATCCTGTTAGCTGCTTTGAAACAATCTGTACTGTAAAAGCGCAACTGACATGTTTCCTAGGCGGTTGATACACAAATGGGAGCGTTTAGAAGAAAAACATTGAGCATATCATCTATAATGAACTATCCTCTGCCACTGAGATGCGTTTAAACTAAGCCAAATAATGGGAACATGGTCTCGAATGGGAGAAGGGGGTGATGGGAAATGTTTATCAGACAAGGGAAAGATCTGAGACTCAATGTTAGATCAGTACACAGTCCTGAATGCTATTTAAAACTAGCGTAGGAATGTCAGCTGTCAGTACACAGCACAGACAGTGGGGGGGAAGGGTCACACACACGTACACACACACTAACACTCACGTATATATACACTTCATATGATTAATATGCATGCAATGCCTTAAATGTGAGGATGCCTCCAGCGATACATGAATAATATCTCTAAGTTTTGGACACACATTTGGTAGTTTGAACAAACTGGCCCATGAAGCTTGTAGAGAAGGTAATGTTCCTTTCTGATCTGAGTAATAAAAAAAAAAAACATTAATAAGTGCAAATGCAAATGTGTGTGTGCACTGTTATCTGAGACCGGGTTATTAAATCCCTGTGTTAGGAAGTGAAGGATCCCATGACCTGATTCACATACCAAATCCACACACTGAACAGCTGAACCAACCATCAGACCTGCTTTAAACTAGCCTTTATCATGAGCCTACAAAGAACGGGAGAGCTTTTCCTTTGGCTAATTTATCCTACCTCTAATTAATTGTGCTTTGTAAAGTGGTCATTTTATATGATTTAATTTTTATGAGGATCGTAACCAGTCATATTTTTCCCACACTCCGTGGGTGTGTTTTTTGCTGACGTGCCTTTAATAAATACATGTGAAAATGTGTTCGACTCGCCGTTTGAAAAGTAACCAAGAAGGTCCAATTAAGTCTTTTTAAAGACCTTTTTAAGACCAAGTAAAGAAAATGTAAGGAATAAATTAAAGAAAACACGATACATCAATATGTCCTCTAAATGAAGATGCAAAGTTGTATCAATCCATTTAGCAAAGAAGCACGTTTTCATAACTCATTGACAGATGTTTGTTCTTGTTCAAATTTTTAAGACCTAATATTTACATGTTCATCACAAAAATGGATCTTGATTTAAAGATGTTTAGATATTTGTATTAGAAAACTGGACAAAAATATAATTTGTGTATGGTCGAATTAAGACGATTTTAAGACCCGCAGAACCCCCGGATAAAATTATGAGCCTTTCAGTCAGACAATCAGCACTTTTTCGCCATTCAACTACTACTAATAATCATTATTAACATTATTTGTATAGCACCTTTCATTCACATTAAAAAAAATACCCTAATCAATATAACATAAGATTAAACTCAAGACAAATTAATTTCTATAGCATTTTTTACAACACTCATTATTTCAAAGCACCACTTTTTTAAAATCCAAAATCCACTTTTTTAGCCCTTTAATGCATTTTGTTGTATATTTGGAGTGTTTATAAGTACAGAAAAGTCAGCTTCAGTAGAGTTAGCTTCAGTCGAGTTAGCTTCAGTAGTAAAGTTAACTTCAGTAACAAAGTTAGCTTCAGTAAAGTTAGCTTCAGTAGAATTAGCTTCAGTAGAATTAGCTTCAGTAAAGTTAGCTTCAGTAGAGTTAGCTTCGGTAGAGTTAGCTTCAGAGTCAGCTTCTGTAGAGTCAGCTTCAGAAAAGTTAGCTTCAGTAATAAAGTTAGCTTCAGTAAAGTTAGCTTCAGTAGAGCTAGCTTCAGCAAAGTTAGCTTCAGTAGTAAAGTTAACTTCAGTAACAAAGTTAGCTTCAGTAAAGTTAGCTTCAGTAGAATTAGCTTCAGTAGAGTTAGCTTCAGTAAAGTTAGCTTCAGTAGAGTTAGCTTCGGTAGAGTTAGCTTCGGTAGAGTTAGCTTCGGTAGAGTTAGCTTCAGAGTCAGCTTCTGTAGAGTTAGCTTCAGTAATAAAGTTAGCTTCAGCAAAGTTAGCTTCAGTAATAAAGTTAGCTTCAGTAGAGTTAGCTTCAGTAAAGTTGGCTTCAGTAGAGTTAGCTTCGGTAGAGTTAGCTTCAGTAAAGTTGGCTTCAGTAGAGTTAGCTTCGGTAGAGTTAGCTTCGGTAGAGTTAGCTTCAGAGTCAGCTTCTGTAGAGTTAGCTTCAGTAATAAAGTTAGCTTCAGTAATAAAGTTAGCTTCAGTAGAGTTAGCTTCAGTAAAGTTAGCTTCAGTAGAGTTAGCTTCAGTAAAGTTGGCTTCAGTAGAGTTAGCTTCGGTAGAGACCCGCAGAACCCCCGGATAAAATTATGAGCCTTTCAGTCAGACAATCACCACTTTTTCGCCATTCAACTACTACTAATAATCATTATTAACATTATTTGTATAGCACCTTTCATTCAAGAAATTCAGATTAAAGTGCTTCACAATAAAAAAGCACTACAATAAGTACCAAGTAATTCACATAAAAAAAAATACCCTAATCAATATAACATAAGCTTAAACTCAAGACAAATTAATTTCTATAGCGTTTTTTACAACACTCATTATTTCAAAGAACCACTTTTTTAAAATCCAAAATCTACTTTTTTAGCCCTTTAATGCATTTTGTTGTATATTTGGAGTGTTTATAAGTACAGAAAAGATGAAATTATTCTCTTCAGGTGCTTCGTAGGCGTGGCCTCCTAGGGCAGCGAAGCAAGTGCATTCTGGGAGTTGTTGTCTTTCATCTTTTCATCCATCAAAATACATTTTCTGGCTTTTCTCAGTCTAGAAAGCTTCAAAAATAATTTCACATTTCTTCTAAATAAACGACCCATTTTAAAAACACATTCATCTTTCCAGAGGTGAAGTATCACTTTAAGTTCCATAAATATGTGTGTTTGCATCTCATACCAGGCTGACGAATGCTGAAAGGGTCATGCCTATCCTTACGACGACCTTTTCCTCCGGGCTTCTTGCAGGCCGGACTTTAACGTTGTATGAAGAAAACAGTTTCTTCATCAGCTTGGCTTCTGTTTCTGCTGCACCTAGGAGAGATGATGTCTTTCAGGAAGATAGAGCAGTACAACTCTCTTCTGCACTTACGCTGCGTTCACACTGCGAGCCTTGGCCGATCAATTCCGACTGTAGTCACATGATCAGATTCGGGCAACAATTACCAGCAATCTGAACCTCCTGAGGGTACGGTGTTTACACGACAACTATATGCTTAAATCGGAGAAGTTTCCTTTGTTTTCCGTGAACAGACGACACCATCGTAAAAACGATTTTCATTCACACTGATCCGCGGAAAACGACCAAAAACTTTGTATTCTGCTGCCAGGCCGTTAGATGGCGATAAAACACTATAGATTAAACATGTAATAGAGAGCCTAAGCCCCGCCCCTTCTGGCTCACGGGACCTTATTTCGGAAAAACTATGTATGGTCGTCAATGGCGAGAGACAACTTATGTTTTTATTCCGTCTGAACTGTGCCCTGAATTACACGTATGATGTTTGTCAATTTAAAAGATAATCCTGAAAGTCAAGAAAGTCGCAGTTTGTCATGAAACGGAAGAGTAACAATTAGTTTTATGTGAAAATCGCTCGATGAACTACATCTCCCGGGAAGCAAAACAATGAGTGAGATCCGCTGGTCGTGTGTGCGCAGTCTGGCACAAAACACTCAGGCATGACGGCGTAACGTTACGGTTATAACTTAAGACTATAGAAACAATGACAGACGTTAGCTTCAGCAAAGTTAGCTTCAGTAGAGTTAGCTTCAGTAGTAAAGTTAGCTTCAGTAGAGTTAGCTTCAGTAGAGTTAGCTTCAGTAGAGTTAGCTTCAGTAATAAAGTTAGCTTCAGTAAAGTCAGCTTCAGTAGAGTCAGCTTCAGCAAAGTTAGCTTCAGTAGTAAAGTTAGCTTCAGTAGAGTTAGCTTCAGTAGTAAAGTTAGCTTCAGTAGAGTAAGATTCAGCAAAGTTAGCTTCAGTAATAAAGTTAGCTTCAGTAAAGTTAGCTTCAGTAGAGTTAGCTTCAGTAGAGTAAGCTTCAGTAGAGTAAGCTTCAGCAAAGTTAGCTTCAGTAATAAAGTTAGCTTCAGTAAAGTCAGCTTCAGTAGAGTTAGCTTCAGCAAAGTTAGCTTCAGTAGTAAAGTTAGCTTCAGTAATAAAGTTAGCTTCAGTAAAGTTAACTTCAGTAGAGTTAGCTTCAGTAGAGTTAGCTTCTTCGGTAGAGTCAGCTTCGGTAGAGTCAGCTTCGGTAGAGTCAGCTTCGGTAGAGTCAGCTTCGGTAGAGCTTCAGCTTCGGTAGAGTCAGCTTCGGTAGAGTTAGCTTCAGCAAAGTTAGCTTCAGTAGTAAAGTTAGCTTCAGTAATAAAGTTAGCTTCAGTAAAGTTAACTTCAGTAGAGTTAGCTTCAGTAGAGTTAGCTTCGGTAGAGTCAGCTTCGGTAGAGTCAGCTTCGGTAGAGTCAGCTTCTGTAGAGTCAGCTTCGGTAGAGTCAGCTTCAGTAGAGTTAGCTTCAGCAAAGTTAGCTTCAGTAGTAAAGTTAGCTTCAGTAATAAAGTTAGCTTCAGTAAAGTTAACTTCAGTAGAGTTAGCTTCAGTAGAGTCAGCTTCGGTAGAGTCAGCTTCGGTAGAGTCAGCTTCGTAGAGTCAGCTTCGGTAGAGTCAGCTTCAGTAGAGTTAGCTTCAGCAAAGTTAGCTTCAGTAGTAAAGTTAGCTTCAGTAATAAAGTTAGCTTCAGTAGAGTTAGCTTCGGTAGAGTTAGCTTCAGTAGAGTCAGCTTCGGTAGAGTCAGCTTCGGTAGAGTTAGCTTCGGTAGAGTCAGCTTCGGTAGAGTCAGCTTCTGTAGAGTCAGCTTCGGTAGAGTCAGCTTCAGTAGAGTTAGCTTCGGTAGAGTCAGCTTCGGTAGTCAGCTTCTGTAGAGTCAGCTTCAGTAAAGTTAGCTTCGGTAGAGTCAGCTTCAGTAAAGTTAGCTTCATTCATTGAGAAAAAAATGTGCACCTTTGGGGTTTGTAGTCTTTGTAATTATGTATTTTTAGTCTTAAACCTCAACAGTTTTACATCAAACTGCGAGTTTCTTGACTTTAAAATATATCTTTTAAATTGACAAACATCATGTCAGGGCACAATCCAAACAAGATCAAAATATTTGTTGTCTCTCGCCATTGACTACCATACAAGATTTTTCCGAAATAAGGTCCTATGGTGGTCGACCGGAAGGAGAGGGTCTTTGGCTCTCTATACACATGACGTCATCGTTTACACAGAGACTGTTTTCAAAAGAATTTTCAGCCACCCAAAATGCGGTTGTTGTGTAAATGAATGGCCAAAACGCATTAGTTTTACGTTTTTAATTGAAAACGTTTTTGTCTTTAATCTTGAGAATCTTAAGTATTAAAAGTCTTGCAGGTTGACAACAATATGTGTTGTGCATAAGGCAGTTTACTGCCTAATCTTTGAGTGAAGCAAAGTGAGTGTAATGGATGAGTGGATGGATTTGAGCTCTGAACACAAAGGCGAACAGATAAGAGACTCACGAATAGCCTTGGGTTTTCAGAGCCGCATCACACACAGTTTTGAGGGTTTACTCCACCGCCCCGGCCATCGGAGGTTTTTATGCATCATGTCTGCTGTTTTTTCCCCTCAGCTTTCGAAGGTTGGGCACATTTATAAGTGGGCCTTCTAGGGGCACCACATTCATCAAGTGTCGCCAGCTCGAGCCCCCCAGAATACGATCTGACAGTAACAAACGACACGCGTCACCTTCATTACCAACGGCTGCTGCTCGGAGCATATGCACACACATTCACATGACTTTTTCTGCGAGTAATAACTTCAAGTGGCTTTTATTGAGGAAAGAAACCCCAACGCTGTGCTGAAACTGCATGGAAATGAGAAATCTTTTTTCTTGTGTGAGCGTTTATATTGTGAAATAAATGAGGCCTTGCAGAGAATATGCCATCTGCTGCCCAGCAGTCCCATTGAAAGCTTCCCTACAATAATTACCACAATTAACCTCTCCGAAACACCTTTAAATCAACTTTTAATTTAAAGATTTCCTGGTGATAGTCTCTGACTCGAGGTTAATTTACAGTTTTCCCAGGAGTATTCATAAAATCTTGAACAAATGTCCCTTTTATTTATTTTAATCACTTTGGTACTATTTTCACAAGGGTGAATTCTCCTAACTGACTCTCATGCTCTATGATGTTATCTTTCACACAATCATTCTCTTTCAAAACACACAATTATTGTGACATGCCATTGTGAACATTTGGTTTAGGCAAAAAAACATCAATTTATGGATCTTAATGACCAACAGAACCAATGCGAGATACGGTACACGTTTCATTTCACAATCCTTAGGGTGTTTCTGAATGAAAAATACTACAGAACTACAGAATTGTAGTAGGAAGACATTGTATAAGAAATCACTTAAATATGATTTATGCGATGTGTTATCAAATGAACATATGACGACATAAATATTGCATTCCTGACAAACGACTGACGTGATACTACAGTTGAACTTTTCACACTGGGAATCTGTCACTGTCAATAGCAAGACGTCATTTATTATTTATATATTATGGTATATTGTACTCTTTAACCAATTCAGAAATTTAGGCTGCATCAAATGATGTGTTAAATAACCAATTCGGATTTAACTGTACAATTAATGAGAACAGGTCAGATTACAGGCTTTATCTCATAATTGGAAACGTACTGCGATTGTGAGATTTGAGGTAATTAAAAACATGTAGGTTAATGTTTGAAATGACTATTATGTGGAAAACGGTACCAAACCGATTTAAAATGTGAAGAAAAAACTGATTTTAATTATCTTTTTCAAACCCCTGGTGTTTTGGACCTCAGAACATCGATTTACTATGATGTTACTGGGCATTTACACGTGTGAAAACACAACGCACGCACACACAAACAGTTTGCAAACTTCAACTCAACTTACCTGCCATTGTGCCCAGGCCACAGAGGCAGCAGGAGACCATAAACCAGTCCTGGGCCTTCATGGCGATCCACCAAATGAAAGCACAGGGATATCTTCATAGAAAGTCAACGTGAGGGTCCATTCGTGTTTTTGCAACAAGTCAGTACCGCTGTCACTGTGCTCGGGTTACAGGCGCGCGGCCGTGTGTGTGCGCGCGCTCAAGAAGGATCAGCTTTGAGCTCACGCGCCCACATCAAACGTCCGCTAAGAAAATAGTATTTCAGAGAACTTCTTTTTGTAACTTAATATTTTTTCAAGCATCATTTCACATTTCTGTTTTCTGCACGGCGTTAGCTGCTTCTGCAATTAAGATTTCTGTAAATGTAAATGCATTTTTATCAAGGCCTCATCGTCGATGTAGCATGTGTAAAAGAGCCATTCCACCGAAAGGGTGACATTTCTGTCCCCGTACATTATGTGGATAAAATTGCATGAAAATTAAAATAGATTTTATTATTAAGCAAAATGTCATGCACATTAAGCTAACGACAAATTTAAAACGTATAATTAAAAAATTATTAAAAACGAAACAGGACACTAAAAAATAGCATTTCTGCATGTCCCAACTCTCTATCTCTAAACTTGACTATGAAATATGATTAAAATCCATGAAAAATTATATTTATCTAAAATATTTTAGATAAAATAAACATTTTAGTCATGTCCCCGGGTTTTCACTCAGTCCTGTTACACCCCACACATTTTCAACAGGAAGTTGCATCATCTGGATCTTCTGAGGGCGACAATAAGTCAGTCATCTCAATTTCATTTCTGTATATTTGATGAAATTGTAACTATGAATGAGAAGGTCAATCTCAACAGACGGCCCTGTTACCTAAAATTTTTCTTAGATTTAATTTAAAAATATTAAGTTTTGGTAAGGCACTAGAAATGACTCAGTGTCCTGCTATTAGCATCAATGCCAGGTGGCTATATGCCATTGATAACTTTTTGCTTAAAAGCTCAACACTACGGAGCTCCTCTAGTCCCACTTTGGTAAAAAAAATTAATTATAACTATCTTGTGGCCTCAAGATACTAACTCGTGGCCTCAAGATAGTAACTCGTGGCCACAAGGTACTAACTCGTTACTAACGAGTTACTATCTTGAGGCCACGAGTTACTATCTTGAGGCCACGAGTTAGTATCTTGAGGCCACGAGTTACTATCTTGTGGCCACGAGTTACTATCTTGAGGCCACGAGTTACTATCTTGTGGCCACGAGTTACTATCTTGTGGCCACGAGTTAGTATCTTGAGGCGACAAGTTACTTTCTTGAGGCCATGAGTTACTATCTTGAGGCCACGAGTTACTATCTTGAGGCCACGAGTTAGTATCTTGAGGCGACAAGTTACTTTCTTGAGGCCATGAGTTACTATCTTGTGGCCACGAGTTAGTATCTTGAGGCCACGAGTTAGTATCTTGAGGCGACAAGTTACTTTCTTGAGGCCACGAGTTACTATCTTGAGGCCACGAGTTACTATCTTGAGGCCACGAGTTAGTATCTTGAGGCCACGAGTTACTATCTTGAGGCCACGAGTTAGTATCTTGAGGCCACGAGTTAGTATCTTGAGGCGACAAGTTACTTTCTTGAGGCCACGAGTTACTATCTTGAGGCCACGAGTTACTATCTTGAGGCCACGAGTTACTATCTTGAGGCCACGAGTTAGTATCTTGAGGCCACGAGTTACTATCTTGAGGCCACGAGTTAGTATCTTGAGGCGACAAGTTACTTTCTTGAGGCCACGAGTTACTATCTTGAGGCCACGAGTTACTATCTTGAGGCCACGAGTTAGTATCTTGAGGCCACGAGTTACTATCTTGAGGCCACGAGTTAGTATCTTGAGGCCACGAGTTAGTATCTTGAGGCCACGAGTTACTATCTTGAGGCCACGAGTTAGTATCTTGAGGCCACGAGTTAGTATCTTGAGGCGACAAGTTACTTTCTTGAGGCCACGAGTTACTATCTTGAGGCCACGAGTTACTATCTTGAGGCCACGAGTTAGTATCTTGAGGCCACGAGTTACTATCTTGAGGCCACGAGTTAGTATCTTGAGGCCACGAGTTAGTATCTTGAGGCGACAAGTTACTTTCTTGAGGCCACGAGTTACTATCTTGAGGCCACGAGTTACTATCTTGAGGCCACGAGTTAGTATCTTGAGGCCACGAGTTACTATCTTGAGGCCACGAGTTAGTATCTTGAGGCCACGAGTTACTATCTTGTGGCCACGAGTTAGTATCTTGAGGCCACGAGTTAGTATCTTGAGGCGACAAGTTACTTTCTTGAGGCCACGAGTTACTATCTTGAGGCCACGAGTTACTATCTTGAGGCCACGAGTTAGTATCTTGAGGCCACGAGTTACTATCTTGTGGCCACGAGTTAGTATCTTGAGGCCACGAGTTAGTATCTTGAGGCGACAAGTTACTTTCTTGAGGCCACGAGTTACTATCTTGAGGCCACGAGTTAGTATCTTGAGGCCACGAGTTACTATCTTGAGGCCACGAGTTAGTATCTTGAGGCCACGAGTTACTATCTTGAGGCCACAAGATAGTTATAATTAATTTTTTTTACCAAAGTGGGACTAGAGGGGCTCCGTACAACACTGTTACCTTTTTTTCTTTTTCTAAAAAAATAAAAATTAAACCACTATTTTTATCAGTTTTGTTTGGCCCATAATTTATACAATTATTTAATGAATTAAAATATATAAGATTGAGGCTTCAGTCGTCTTTAAAAAGAAAAAAATGCCTGTTTTTTTTAAATCAAATTACACCTTGCTTTAATAGTGATTTTATTGGCAAAAATATCAATTTTTTGAATAACCAACAATTTCTTTAAAATAAACACTTTCTTGTGGGGAAAACAAAGGAATTAATTGACATGCTTCTAAACTTGCTTTTTAAATGACACACGATTTTCGGTAACAGGATTGAGAAAACATGCATCGCTATTCTGCTTTAACCTTGTAAAAAATAAATAAATAAAGTTGTCTGAGATTGACCGATACACATTTTGAATAGTTAAATATGTGTAGTAGGTATTAGATTCAATGTTGAAAAAGATCAAAAATAAAGTTACAACAAGCAAATGTCACCCATTCGGTGGAATGGCCCAAAAATTAGCCACTTAAAATGTTGATAAGATGCGTTGTCTTTGCAATGTAAAGATGACAAAAGCTTGGCCTGAATTCACAAAAGGTGCACTTGTAAAACAATTTTCAAGATTTGTTATCACAACATTTTTTCTTTTGTCAGATCAACTTAAATAATTTATTTAGTTGAGATAACTTATTATTTTGAGTTTCTGATGATTAAATTAATCTCCTTCGTTGTAATAACTCACCTTTTCCAGTTCAATCAACTTAAAATTTTAAGGCAACCAGGTTACTTACTTTTTTTAAAGTTAAACCAACAATACTTTTTTACAGTGTACTATTTTTCTAATATTCACAGGCTGAAAGAAAAAATCATGAACATTTCAAATGATTTCGAGGCAGAGCACTCATTTACCTTACACTGAGGTATTCATTGAGTCTTCCAAATGTGCTCTTTAAATAAGGCAAACTAATGTGTTTGTATCCACGCCAGAATATCTATTCAGTTCCGGGGGGCTTTTGGCTCGAGACGAGGTGTAGCATTAATGTGCTGTAGCTACTTTTATGTAATTCATCAGAGCTGTTAAAAAGAATTATGCAGCTTTATCCCACCAATTAGATTAAAGGATGAGATTTATTCCTCTGCTCTCGAGTGTTGACACTTTGATGGGTCTTTTGAAATCAGAGGTCGCTGAAGTTTTTCCTCCGCAGTTAGCATAAAAGATGGAAACGGCTCTTTAGCGAAGCCTGCTTTTGCACGGAAACACATCTCCAGTACATCCTCATCCCGTCGAGCCGTCCCGGCGCCGTCCACCATATTCCCAATTTGGTCCTCGGCCAATTTAATCATTATAGAAGTCAACTTAACAACCCATAACTAAAGCTGACTCGCCTGTATAATTCCATTGAGATGACGAACGCTGGCACTTTCCTGAGCGCCAATTAATACGCTTTACTTTAAATGACGGCATTGAATTATACGTTCATCTGAATGGCACAGAGAGTAAAACAAATGACACTTTGGTTTTACAATCATACAAATATATTAGTTTTATTCAATAATGTTTAATAATACGTCTCCCATAGACTTATAGAAATAGATATAGATTCTATTGCAAATACGGGGCTGAGAGTTTATGCATGAATAGAGTATTAAGAGTAACAGTGAGTTAAATACTAAAACAGGAATCATCCTCCTCATCTTTTTTTTTTTTTTTTTAATTGTTAATGTGTCCAGTAAATATTGGTACATGCATGACTGTATTGGGTTGTTCCGTCCAATATTGCAAAATACCACAGATGTGCCGTTTCCGTCCAAGTGGTCCAGTTGCACGAAGCCAGAGTTGGAGCGAGTCTGTCCGGGTGGTTATTGGTTTCTGTAGCTATAAAAATTAAAAATAGTGTCATCGTGGCTTTGACTGGAAGACCTTTGCTTTGTCTTGGTTTGGAAGACGAGAGAAAACGAATATGGTTTATTTTCCTTTCTTTTTGGAAGACTTCCTTACAATAACTTGGATAATCCATGCAGAACATACAAAATGTCCTTCGATATAAAGCAGACTCTCATTGTCCATAACTGATATGAGTGTTTTAATATGCACACACTTGTCTCGTTGCAGAAGATCCCAAACGGTGTCCATTGAGGGTGTGAGATCATGACCTCTGTCGACCTTTAGATCGGGGATCAACATCCGAGAGTTCGGGCCCACTGGTCACCAATTGTCTTTTTGATCTTCCCAATGAGAGCTTAAATGGGACTGTTTGCATCACAAGGTTGAATGGCAACACTGAATCCACACGGTTTCACTGATTTATACCAAGCGAACACAAATAAAACCCAACACGACCTTTAGTTTTCAGGGACACGGAAACTGAAGGGACAAACAGACAGTAAAAACACTGACATATTGGTTTATGATTCATATGTTTCAAAGTGTCACATGTTCAGGACCACAAACAGATGGAACAAGGAGACTTACAAAAATAACTGATCATATATATGTGTGTGTAATATTATAAAACTATAATCAAATATTT